AATTTTGTGCCATTGTGCAGCTGGAGAACCACATGCCCAGACAGTCACAAGGTTCTGGATAAAGCAATCATAGTTTTTGCTCAGCTGTGTTAGCTCCTCGGGTCAAATCTTCTATGATGTGCACACCCAGGAAACGAAAGTCCGATACCCTCGCCGCAGCCTCTTACTCCTGAAGTCCACGATGACCTTTTTAGTTTTGGTTCTGTTGAGGAGCAAGTTGTCACAGCACCACCCCATCGACCTCCTCACCTTTTCCCTGTTGCCAGACTCATCCTCCACAGAGATGAGCTCTTCTTTTTCGGTCTCATCTGCAAATTTGTCAATAGTATTGCTGTTATGTTTGGGTGCACAGTTATGAGTGTAGAGCAGGGGGCTCAGTAAACAGCCCTGTGGAAACCCAGCTCTGAGGCTAATTGCTGGGATGTGTAATGGCCCAATCTAAGCCCCTGAGATTGATCTGACAGAGAGAGTCCTTGACCCAAACACAGATGGAGTCTGACAGTTCATTGTCCATGTTATCAGTGTGGCAGACCAATTGAAGTGCTGCTTGGGAGTTGACGGTGCAGTGCTCCACCTGCTACAGTGGATTCTTTAGCCCCTGGATGGTGGTGGTAGCATTGTAACTTGTTTTTTGGTTTATCCAGAGGTTTTAATATTCTTCCACTGCTGCTGAGGGAGAAGCTGAAAAAGATGGACGTTGACACTATCTGACAGGCCATCATCTGTCTATCTTTATGAATAAAGACCTGTCTTATGTAGCGGTAACATAGGAGCAATACAGGGGGATGGTGTGTTCTTCCTTCTTGTTCACCTTCTGACATTGTTTTTCAGTATTACTCAGAGTCACGCCAGAAACATTCTCATGATTCAGCTGTGGTTGGGTGAATAAGTGAAGGACAGCAGGGGGAGTACAGGACATTGATGGAGAACTTTGTGGAGTGGACGGGACAGGAGAATCTGCAGACGAATATTTCTGAGCTCTGAGAAATGGTGAATCAATTCAGGAGAAAAACAATAGTCTTACAGCTGCAGACAATTCTGGGAAGGAATGTAGTAAGAGGACTATAATTATTTGAGAGTATACATCAATAACCATCGATGACCAAGAAATATTGGATTTGCCCTGTATGTAAATTAATTCCACATGGCAGATTTTTAAATGTCATTTGTGGCTTTGTGGCTATATTTACAAAAACTCTGAAGAGCATTCATAATGAACAGAAAACAATAAAGTTTGAAGTGATTTGTCATGATTTGTTACGTAAAGGACATTTATTTTGCCATCTTAAAATGCAGAGAATGACAGCCGATTGAAAGAAAAATGTAAAGACCTTGAACATTTTTGCTTTCGGTTTGCGTTCAGCTAATTTAGATTCAAAGCTGTTTTTTGTCACACCAACAGAAAGTCAGAACTTGCAATTTTCCCAGAGTCACTTTCCTGTTTCCTTTAAAATCTCACAGGCATCAGATGGTGGTTATCTTGTTGACAGCCCTTTCGTTCTCTGAGGGGTGAAACCAGCACTCAAACTAAAAGAGATCAGGGGCCTTTGATAAACATCATTGCTTCATAGGGTAACAAGAAAACATAATAAAAACATTGTAAAGAAACAATAGCATATTAGGAATTCTAGGGAAGATCTGAGTAGCTGTTCTGGATCTTTCCATGGGCTCAACTCAACCTTGCTCAGGTTAAATTGGTTTGGCCTCAGTTTTCCCACTGGGTGGTTCTACCTACTTCTATCTCAGTTCTTTATTTAATTTATTTATTAGCCTTTATTTAACCAGGCAAATCCCTTTGAGATCACAGATCTCTTTTGCAAGGGAGGCCTGGGCCTGAAGGCAACCTTTTGTACATGGTTTTGGTGTGTGTGGGAATTTGGAGTACGTTGAGAAAAGAGGATGGAACCCAGGACCTTCTTGCTTTGAGACATCAGTGCTAATCCATCATTCTACCTGTTCTTAGGACTGACTCAACGGAAGTTTGAAGTAAGCTGAGTCGAGCTGTAGATTTGACTGCAGCAGACTACAGGCCACTGATTGGCCAGAGACATCAACCATGAGAGTCTCTTTCACACAAACCAAAACCCACCATTTCTACAACTTTGCAATCGAAGCATTTATTTCTCTTATTTACTTAAAAGAAAAGTGACACAAATACAAATATAGTGGGTACATACATTTCAAATAGTACAAATTGTCTGTAAATTACTGGAACGCAGATCCCCAGTTATAGAGTAAATCTCACAATTTTGTAAAGTGTATGGATTTCTGAAGTGTCTGAAGGAGTTAACATGTATGCTATGAGGAGATACAGGTGTTGCTTTTTGGCTGATGGCAGATTTCAGAGGGGTTTAGATGAAATTATCTCGATTTGGGCTCCAATTGGTGGAGGAAAGGTGGCCTCAACTCCTTTTCATGAGCTGTGGCGGAGGATGATAAGTGTTTTGTGACATTGTTTCACCTATTTGCTCATTGCTGCTTTGTCTGCCTTATATAAAATGAATGTTGCAGAAGTTACAGGCAGCTGCGCCATCAATGATCCCGCCCACTCTGAGGCCGCACTCAAGTTACATCGAAAATCACCGAGACCTACCTGGATAGAGTCGAAGCGAGTTGTGGTGAGACTGGACAAAACAGCTTCAGTTGGGCTACTCTGATTCTCCAAACAGAAATACTGTATCTCTGACTGTTGTCTACTGCAGGTAAAATAGTGATTACTCATGTGCACTTTACACAACCTCAACCGAAACAAAACAGAACTATCCCTTTATTATAAAGGATGAGCAACTTGAAACAAATTATCCACATGTTTTAAAAGTTTTTTTAAACATCTGTATTTTGGTGTGAGAATTAAACTAATTAGCTTAACCTCCTAATAATAACAAATGGAATTTTTTTTAGAAGCCAAAAAAATTCCACTGAAGAAACAGTTTTAACCCTGCTGTAAACATACTGTAGCTCGAGTAAATGTTTTAGCTATAAAAAAGGCAGCTTTGACCTTTAAACAGTTTCCTGTGTTTGTATAGCTGATAAGACACACTCTAAAAATGAAATGTTGGATTTACTTTACCATGTTATGTTACCTGGTTCCACTTAACTGAGTTGAGTAAAATCAAAGAAACATACTCATGTTCTTTGGCTAAAAAACTTGTATATTGCTTTGAATTTACTCAACTCAGTTAAGTGGAACCAGGTAACATAACATGGTTAAGTAAATCCAACATTTCATTTTTTACAGTGCAGTGTTGCTCCTTTCCATTTGATTCTTGTGGAGGTCTGCTGTGATGTATTCAGGTACATCTGGTCTTCACGGTGACTTTATGGACCTTGTGAGTCCAGTCTGACTGACATGTAACCCCAGTCTGCCCCCTCAGGGGGTGAAGCCTGAGGGATCACTAGACTTTTTGTAGCTGCTGCAGACTAAAAGAGTTTTATTTTACAATAACTGTAGATGATATGAAAATCTTTAGAAAAATGGTTGATTTTACAGCCAAACTTTCAAAGAAAATCCATTATTTTCTTTTTTATAGTTTGAAATAGATGAAAAGGAAGTTCATGATTTCCTAGAAACACTACCGTAAAGTACAAATGCTGTAGGCTCTTTCATGACAAGGATCATAATGTGTTTGTCAGAGTATTTAGAGAGCGTGACACTAAACTAAAATCCTTTTACCATGAAAAGGAACAAAGTTATACCGGTTTCACCTTGTTAATAATCTTGTGTACAAAAGTTTCAGCATCCACCACATCAAACTTTAGCTCATTTGCTAATTTAATCAAGTTATAGTAATTTCTGTGTTTGCTAAAGCTGATTAGCTGTAGTGGCCTTCTTAAAGTGGGTTGACTCCAAAAGTTAGTGAGTTGTAAAGTTTTACATTTAATAAATATTTTTGAGAATTGGATGAAATCCATCCAGTGCTTCTCGAGATATTTTGCTAACAGACAACAGGGTTGACCTTAACAGTTTTAAACAAAGATGTCATCTGCTGTAAGTGTCTTCCAGCACCAACTACACCAGATTTTCAGCTCTATATCTGTAAAACCAGCTTGAGTTACAGTCATTTTCATGTTTGCTAAGGTCAAAGAGCAGTAGAGGACATACTGAATTGGATCAAATTCATAAGTTAATCAATTATAAATGCATATTCAATGATTACTTTCTGGTAGTTTCATTAAAAAACGTTTAGTGGTTAATAAAATATTTTTCAAACAGACAAAAAAAAAAGAGTACATGCTCTGAAACACACTTGCACAGACTCAGGTTAAAACATTGTTACCCCTGGTGGCGAGCAGAAAATATGGACTATACCTGCACAAAGCCAAGTGTGTGTGTTCATGTTGTTTAAGCGACAAAGGGTTCTTAAAGGAACCTTGTCACCCATTTTGTCTTGTCAGTCTTGAGCAGGAACTCAACAGCTGGACTGTTTTCATGCCTGCAGCCTTTGTGTCGTCACTGTTTGCTTCCTGAGCCGGGTCAGTATTCAAGCAGACGGCACGTTCACCTTATTAGGCTTTGTTATAAGCTCATACTCTGCTTGTTTGCATTTCTTAGATAACCGTAACACATGTCGCAATAGAGCGGAATAAAAATAAATCTGTGTTAAAAAAAAAGAATCCCATCATTTGTAATGGAAAGGGCCTTTAAATAATATTTGAAAGCTGTGTTCTGAGAGGCTAATTAAGAAAGCTTTTTTTATTTCTGTGTTTTTTTTTAACTATGCATAAAAACCTTTTAAACTCTCACTGCATCCTTTGGTTCCAGATGATAAATCAAGGCCACAGTAAAAGAGCAGCTCAGTGTTTTTCTTTTTGTGAACTTGAACAAGAAGTGCATGCATGTGTGTGCATGTGTGTGCGTGTGTGCGTGTGTGTGTGAGAGAGAGATACTGCACTCACCCCCCATCACGGGGCTGTGTGTATGTTTGCAGGCAGAGACTTGTGGAAATTTACAGTCTCCTGCGTTGGTACCTGAGTTGCGTGTGACAGCGAGGCAGCGTCCAATCTCCACTTTAGTTCTAATTGTCTTTAGCCAAGAGGCGGGCCCTACTGTCAGCTCTACTTCTTGTGACCCCTGTCTGCATAAAGGCATTCAGTACAGAGGAATGGTGACAGCTGAGGGACACGGACACTATACATAGCCGCAGCCATGAAGGAAATGTAAGTTTTCTGATTTACTTTTTCAATATCTTTTTGGGGTTTCTGGGGTTTGTGTCTGTTTGGCCTTTTTTTCCCCCTTTTTGAATGGATTTAAGAATAAAAGCAGCATAATGATCTGAAAGAGTCTCTGTAAAAAAAAGAGAGGAACAAGTCTTGTTGTCTTTAATGATTTATAACATTGCAAGGAAGTGTCAGTACTTCTTTTTAGTACTTCTGCAGTGTTGAATCAGAAGGTGGGAGCGTCCGAGTGGCAGGTGAAGCTGAGCCAGAGTAAAAGAGAGAGACAGACAGAGAGAGAAAGGGATAAATAAAGGGAGGAAACAGGATGAGAGAGAACTGATCCAGTTACGTAAGTGGGTTTGAGAATGGAAAACACTTGACTTGTCATGCACAATGGAAAGGGAGAAATCCTTGAAAATGATGGGAAACAGTGTGTACACGCTGCTCAAAGTATCCTTTCATGTGAGGGGAAACTCTATTATTGTAGTTGTGATGATTGTGCCACCCCCCCCCCAAAAAAAGTATTTTCTAGCAGTTATTGTCCCTTTGTTAAAGCGTTCAAAGTGTTGTGAAAGTAAACTCCTCAGAGGGGTTCATAACATTTCTTTTGTCCCAGCTTCCTCTGTCGAAATTTATGTACAAGTTGGAGTATTTCACATTCCTCTTTATTTGAGAAACAAACTTTAAAAAAGCATTTATTTTATTGTAACCTTTTATAAATAAGTTGAGTCTTGCTGTCTTTTGTTCATTAAAAGAACATCCGTTAAATGATTCTTGTTTTATGCAGGTAGTTCAGTCACACGAGGGAAACCAGACACCTCGCTGTGTGATAAAAAAAATCTGTCTAGGGAAGGTTATTTACAGTGTAAACACACACTTAATCTTAAGCTGTAGTAGCCTCCTGGGAGCGGCCACCACTTTGAGAATGCGGGAGGTACATGTTGCTTCCTAGATTTGGCTTTTTTTGGCTGAGTAATAAGAGAAAACTTACAAAAAAAATTAAACTGTCCCTCAGGTTCAACCAAGGTCCCCAAAGGCACTGCCCTTCCTTTTCCTTCACTGACAATGTAACCCCCCTCCGAGTGGAAGATCCCTTCTAGATGAAAAACAAGGAATGCTGATGTTTGGATTTTTGCGCTTTTAATTTTCTCGCGCACACTTATTTATAAGACCACAAAGCGTTTGGGTAATTTCCATCCTCTAAGTTGCGTTTGTCCTTTTCCAACTTCCTCAACATTTAATCTAAATGACCTCTATCCACCCATACCCCAGATTAGCAAGATTACCTGCATTGTACTGTTTATCATGTGCTCATGCAGCAAGCTGTAAAGCAGTCCGGGGACAGTATTATCTCCCTAATGCTTCTCCCTGTCTGGTGTTTTATCCCTCTCACCTCTTGTCTCATCCAATATGCCCCTGTCTTTCGTGTCTCCTTTGATTTATTCCCAGCTTTTCTGTCCACAGCATGGCAAGAGAAAAGGAGAAGCTCCAGTGTCTGAAGGATTTCCATAAGGACACACTTAAACCATCACCAGGAAAGAGCCCGGGTACCCGACCCGAGGATGAGGCTGAAGGGAAGGTCCCTCAGAGGGAGAAGTGGGCCAGTAAGCTCGACTTTGTCCTGTCAGTGGCTGGAGGCTTCGTCGGATTAGGCAACGTGTGGCGTTTTCCTTACCTTTGTTATAAAAATGGTGGAGGTAGGTGCAAACCTCACAACAGCTTCTGGGGCGTTTCATGACAAAAAAGGATACCTTATTCTCTGATGCATTTCTTTATAGGTGCATTTCTCATCCCTTACTTCATCTTCCTGTTTGGGGGTGGCCTGCCCGTGTTCTTCCTGGAGGTTGCGCTGGGCCAGTACACCTCTGAGGGGGGGATCACCTGCTGGGCCAAGCTCTGTCCCATCTTCACTGGTCAGTGCAAACACAGAAACAAGCAGATTCTACACACAGAAAGACAAGACTTCTGCTTTGATTGTCCTCCTGCTTTCAGTCCAGCATTTGTCTCAAGGAGGTTATGTTCTGAAGGGGGTATCCTCTATACCCAAATGACAGTTGGACTGGTCTAACCTCATCAGTCTACTTTCTGTTGAGTAAATATTGCACGGCTATACAAAGGAGAGGTGAAGAGTTGAGGTTATTGAACACGGAGAATTGTTTATGGTTGTTTAGGCTGGTGAAGCATCGGATCTCTGGTCTCTAGAGATCTCTAGACGTCATTTCAAGACTTTCACTTGGTGTATCATGATTCTGACTGGGGTCCTGACCTCAACTGGAAACAACTTCAGCTGTGTCAGCTTCAGCCAGAGCATACAAATGTTTATAATCTAGTGATTATAATCGACAGGGTATTTGATTACTACAAAAAAAATTATGATGAAAAAAGCTGTTATGATGCAGAGAAACTTTGGTGTCTCATGCACCAAATTAGATTTTCTTTTCATACTTTGTGGATTATCCTTATTTCTTTAGCTAATTGGAGACTACAAGTACTGTACTCTATACGTATACACAGGGGAAGTCTTTAGTAGTTGCCAGGTGACTTTTCTTTCAAGAAGTGTAGAAGGTGCTGTGTGTCTATTTACTATAAAAAATCTATAATCTATATATCACAGAGCTCCAAAAATACAGTCTTTGTTGTTTCTTTGTCACACAGGGAATTTGTAACCTCACTCTCAGCTTGTTGGGTCACCGCTAAGCAAACACACACACAGACACACAGCTGTCACAGCACAAATGTGTTGGTCAGTTTGCAATAGGAATGTAGTAAAGAGAAGATGGGGGGTGGGCTGGTAGTGATGGGGTGGTGACAGAGATGATAAATTTAAAAATACTCTGGAATTGTGGATGAGTACACAGAATTTCTGTGTTCAAATTTGGGACAAAGTCTTCTTATAACAACAAATACAGCAAGGTCATTATAGCCCATTATAATTTCCATCCATCCATCCATCCATCCATCCATCCATCCATCCATCCATCCATCCATCCATCCATCCATCCATCCATCCATCCATCCATCCATCCATCCATATCCATCCATCTATCCATCACTCTCTTCCGTTTGTTCCAGAGTTAAGTTCCTTTAGGTCCAGACCTCTCTTTCCCTAGCCATTTCCAGCTCTTACGACAGGCTCAGCTCAAGCAAGTTAGATTTGCCCTCCTGTGATCCCCCACTTGAGCAGGTGCACGCTGCCTTGGGTACGTGTCAAAGGCGTGGGTCTTTGTGCTCTGACCCTGGCTTACCAAAGCTGCTACTTGGGACACAGAATGTCACCTCTATGTTGGGGATAGAGCCTAAGTGTGTGCATGAGGTTAAGAAGTACTAATTAGATATAAGTGGGCTCACTTCATCACACAGCATGATTTCTGGAGCCCATCATCTTGAGAGGGACTGGACTTTATTCCATTTTGGAGAAAGTTGGTGAAAGGTGTCAGGCTGGTGTAGGTCTACTTACAGCCCTTCAGTTTGATGTCTGTGCGTTGGAGTTTTCCCCATTAGATGAGAGGCTAGCTTCCCCATGCCTTTGAGTGGGGGAGGGGGACAGGCTCTAACTGTTGTTTGTGCCTACATGCCAAACATGGACATGGACAGAATTCCTCAGTGCAGCCAGGGGGCGACAGGAGTTCGGTTCGGTGGCCTCAGGATTCCATCTCTGCTATTTGAAGATGCTGTGGTCCTGATGGCGTCATCGTGCTGTCATCTTGAGCTCTCATTGGAGTGGTTCACAGCTGAGTGTGAAGCAGCTGGGATGAGGATCAACACCTCCAAATCTGAGGCCATGGTCCAGTTGGAAAAGGGTGGATTGTCCTCTCTGTGTTGGGAGTGAGATGCTTCATCAATGAAGAAGTGAACAATTGCATTTGTTTTTAATCTGTCGTTATACCTGATATCAAAAATTTAAACAGTGTTACCTATCAGTAGGTACTGAAGTAATAAATAATATAAATAGTGAAATAAAATAAATTGCAAAATAAACCCACTAATGGTCAGAGAGACTTAGAATCAGTATTTACAGCGGGTAAAATAAGTATTGAACATGTCAACATTTTTCTTAGTAAATATTTTACTAGAGGTGCTAATGACATGAAATTTTCACCAGGTGTTGGTAACAACCCAAGTGATCCATACATACAAAGAAATCAAACCA